TGTAAGACAGAGTAATTGCTGAGCGACAGTGGCTCACACCTTAACGCCCTAGCACTTTGGGAGGCTTAAAGGTGGAGGAGTCACGCTGAGGCCCAGAGTTCTGAAGGCCAACCTGGGCCCACAAATTTGAGACCTCATTTTTACAAAAATGTTAGGAAAGTTAGCTGCGGCATGGGCGCAGCACGCATGTGCGTCCCATATACAAGGGAGCTGAGGCAGGGATCACTGAGCCAGGAGGGTCGAGCTTTGCAGTGCGCCAGGTTCACATCCACTGCACTACAACCTGGGCAACAAGAACAAGGCCGTGTCTCAAAAAATATATCTAAAAGTAGGGCTAGGCGCAGTGGCTCAGGCCTGTAATCCCAAACGATTGTTGCCGAAGCTGAGGGGGTGGTCCACCTAGCGTCCGCAGAGTTCAAGAGCCAGCGCTGGCCAACATTAGTGAAATCCATGTCTTCTACTAAAAATAGATAAAAATTAGCTGGTTTCTGGTGGTGGGCAGCCTGTATTCCAGCTATCAGGACGCTGCAGGCAGGAGAAGTCACTTTGAACCTGGGAGGCCAGAGGTTGCAGCTGAGCCGGAGATCACACTATGCCTGCCAGCTTGGAACAGAAGAGCAAAACTCGCGTCTCAAAAAAAAAAAAAAAAAAAAACTTATTACACGGTATGATATACCTATACACACACACACACACACACACACACAACTTTATTTTTATGATTAAATTTATATTACTACGTTTATAACTATAACACTAATATCTACCTGCATTCCATCCAATTCATAAAGGGTACAGTTGCCTAATTAAGATTGGACCTCCTTGGTTAAGCCATGGCTTTTTAAGAAACAGTTTGGAGAAACCGCATTGCTTTGGTAGAAAGACATTAAACAGCAAGTAAAAATGGAAGGACAGACTGACCTCTAGTTTGTGTGACTGGGTATGTGTTGCCTTAAACTAAGAGACTGGAAAACAGCCGGAGGTTTGCAGTTGAGCCGCTGCTGGGGTATGGTGGTACTGGCGAATCTCTCGTCCGTGGGCGATGGAAGTGAGACTGTCGTGCTCGCCCAAGGATGAAATATGTAAAAGATGAGATTAAGAAAAGAAAGAATCGGAGTGTGAGTGCTGGGAGCTGGGAAGTGAGCTTATATTTGCTGTGTGTGTAACAAGTCGTGTTCTAGTGAATGGATGCTGGTCTACATGCTGTTTCAGTTGCTCTCCCTCCTTCGTGAAGT